ACCTCCCTCCTCTCTTCTTTTTTGCCCACCCACAGCTCATCTCAACGTCCCCCCACTCCAACTCGTGGTTACCACTTTTCAACATGAAAGATGTGTTAACAATAATTTATGAATGCATTTCCTTTCGGTTATGTACATGACATTTTCAAACTGAGGGGCTATCTCGGTTCATTTTCGTTGTTGTTGTTGTTGTTATTGTTGTTGTTGTCGTTGTTGTTGTTTTTTATCGTGCTCGTCGTCGTCCTCTTTGTAGTCGTTATTGTAGCTGGTAACAGTTGCAGCGATTGCTTTCAGTAATATATGCCAAATGATGGTTAGGAGACTCTTATTCGTGAATATATTATTATGTGTTCTTATCACAGTATGAGATCTCCGTCAAAGGAATTGTAGAGGTTCCCGTGGCCTAAAGGTAACGGTGTTTGCCTTTCAATCAATAGGTCCAAGGTTCGAATCCCGATAGCGACATAAATTTTTCTTCTCTAAAATTGTCCCCTGTTACCTCCTTTCCTGCTCTCTAGCAATGTTTCGTCGTCTGCTTTCGCCTCCACTTTGTGCTCCCACCCCATCACCTCCTTTGCCCCCTCCCCAGGGCCCCTGACTCTTTCTGCAGCTTTTCTACTGCCTCTCCCTGGCTCCCTCTTACTGCTGTGTTTCAGCCACACCCATGATCTTCATGTAAAGGGCGAAAAATCTCGGAGGTCCCGTGTGCAAGTTGCTCACGTTAAAGATCCCTTGGGCTGCCACCCGGGCAATATTAACAAAAATTCCAACTAACTGAAAATGTTTAATGTGTCCCGCGCGCTCACATAACCTTATGTAGTTGCGAGCGCCGTAAAACACTTACCAAAGAATTTTCTTTACACAAAGCTCTTGTACATGGTTGGAGATTGGTTGAAAATGACTTGTAAACAGTAAAGGTGGTCGAAAAGCTTATTGTCTAATTTACCCTCGCATTGAAGGGCACACCCCCTCCCCCCACACACAAATGGGACAAATACACGCACAGACACACCTACATATATACACACACAAAACACACACACATGTGCGTGCACATTCATAAATCACACGTATAAATACTCACACACAAATAAACACAACATACAAGCGTGTGAGCACACACAAACATGAGTCATACGTAGAAAGACACAGTCGCAAACACACAAACACAAACGCGCACTTACATCTGCACATGCATGAATCACACATATAAATACAGATACCAACACATAAAAACCTACACACATAATACACATGGGTCATCCATGTAATACACACACATGCACACATACGCACACAAACACACAGACAAACATTTACGCACTCGTCGAAATAAACGCACGCATAAATGAGGACATACCAAACAGGGACACACACACACACACACACACACACACACACACACACACACACACACACACACACACACACAATTGTACGTAAAAGATGTATGTTGTCTGTACATGTACCACTTTCTGTTTCCCTCTCTCAAAAGGCACACAAACACACAGCTCATATAAAGAGATATGCACGTACCAAATACCACTATACATTTATTTCTTATTCATACACACACACGTAACACCCCCCTCCCCAACACGCGCGCG